GTTCACTCTATGACCCATTGTTACATCATAAAATATTGAAAAAAATTATAATTCCTAGACTTTTACCAAAGCTTTTGCTTAGCGGTTTTATTAGTCGTAGATTAGCAAAATTCCACCCAAATTCCTGGATTTTCCTAGGATTTAAATATTGGATATTTGCTAAATACAAATCATAGGATCAGACTGAATGAAAACATAGTGTTTAGAACAATTCAGCGTCTGCTAACAAGCAGCAGAAAATATCAAAAGTATAATATTTGGAAATGTATTACAGGGTGAAAAAAAATACCAATTTCTCTGCAAACTGTTTCATCAAAAGACACATTTGTTTTTTACAGGCAAATCTAAATAAATATGTAATATTTGGTCACTGGACGCACTTTTAAAGCATTGACCACTTTCAGAACTTTCCTCCAGAACAGAAATAGCAAATATTCTCTCTGTGAAATGAAACAATAAAATCATAAAAGGAATAAAAATGCTCTTGTGCAGACACAACATTCTATTTAAGCAATTGAAATGCAGCTGTGTCGATCCCTGATGGCTTATGATGAATGACAGTTTGACTCTTTTTATTAATGCTTTGCAAGTCTACAAGAAAAGGTACTTGTTTTTCAATTACTTGCTTCATTACGTAGAATCCATCGCAAGGCTATTCTCGTTCCCTGACTTGGTCATTATGTATAACATATATGAAATTATGTGCTTTGCATTGTCCAGATATGATCGTCTAATAAAGACACGCTAGATGGTTTCAAGCTGCTAAATAAGACAGTTGCCATTATGTACGGTTGCGTTTGATGCACGGACGTGACTGTTAAGTAATGCACTAGGTCCCATGTAAAAGAATAGATTAGGGGTAAAAGGTGCATTTATTTGTGCGAGTGCTAATATAGTTTAAATAAATGTGCTTATTTTCTTACTGGCTAAGTCTGCGGTATAATTGGTTCACTATTCTAATGCTGATTGTAGTGATCTTATAATGGCAATAATAATTGTATTTAAGCACACCGAGAACTAAATGTAGTATTTGCATTCACTATAACTGATTCTGTCAAAAGATTCTATTAAATAAATTGTAAAAGCTACTTACCTATACTGCAGGCATATATTTTCTATAAATTCATTGAGTCAGATTTACCAAACAGCCGGCACATTGGTAATTTGCTGTATGCTTCTCAGTAGTATTCCTATTTAGGTGACCTCCAAGGGGTATTTCCCAAAATAGGGTTGGTGACCATCTTAAACATTGTAGCCCACAATGTTGAGTTAAAAAAAGGAATATTTTTTTATATTTTAGACTAAGTATTTCATGAGGGCTGTCAGCTTACTCTAGTGCAGGGGGCTACATTTAGCACTCCGGAATTCTCCTACATTCATAGTGCTGGCAAAGCATCAGGGGAGATGTAGTCAACAAGATCTGGTGTGCAAAAGGTGCCTACACTTGTCCTAAACTTGTAACATTTTTAAAATGTACTAAAAAAATACATAATATAACATACATTTTAACACTTTAGCTATCTTCTTTTGACTCTCTAAAAATTGCTGATCTAATGGAAATATTAAGTGGATGTAGTGTAGTGTAAAATGCGTAAGATATTAATTTTGGGGCAAGCTCATCATGGCTCACTCCTGATTAGCAAGAGTTACTCCTGACACCTAATTCCTGTATTTTTTTTTGTTTGTTAAACTTAATGTCCCATATTTCACATTGCTATAGGATGAGATCAGTTCTGGATTTAAAAAAAAAAAATTTTTTTTTTGAAAGTTTATTGAAGTTTTCAAAATAGAAGGGGATCCAAAAGATAAAAAGGGGTGGGTGGGGGGAGGGGAGGTCAGCGGATTGTACACAGAGTATATGTTTAGTACACATATTCGAGATCACATTTTCCTGCATTCCAATGTTGCATTACCAATACATGGAGCTGTGTGTCATGCAGATACCGTGAGAATTATAGTTACAAGGTGTATTCTGGTTATACATTCGGTGTGGGTTGGGTCGTACATAACCTTTCAGGTACCCATCTCCATGTGTGCCACATTTTCCATGAGTCAAGGTAGGTTTTGTTAGGGGAGAACATGGGGTGAAGATGCCGCTCAAATGAGTGTTGTCTATCGACTTCAGAGAGTATTTCTGTAACAGTCGGTGCAGCTCTCGATTTCCTTGGTATCTTGGTATAGCGCTATATATATAGTGTATAAGTGTATACATTTTGTTTTCCTTCTCAGTACCTGGCCATGACAAAGACTCCAAGCAGGATTATGTTACTTTATTTCATAATGCAGGTGCAACTTTATTCTTCTGATTGTTCGTATTTGCATTTCTAACCTAACTGAATGGGTGTTAGGTTTAAAGTATTGCTGCCATTTATTTGTAATTACATGTTATCTCTGTATTATTGTTTTTGTTTTGTTTTTAATCTTTTTGTAATTATATTGTCATTATAAAGTCATTTTGGTAAATTGTTACATGAACAATTCTAAATTCACATTTTCTGTATGATTACAACAGGTCGTTACACCTTCAGCCAACTGATTTTTGCTATTGGTATCTGTTTGGTATTTAGTTGGGCTTCGTATTAGATAAAGCATTTGTATATTAATAAAATTTAATTAATTACTGAATCTGTATCGAATCCAAGTCAAGTAGCTGAAAAATATGAGATGACTCTTTTTTTAGTAAAAATATTTTTCTCCCTTTGATCACTTTCACCATTGTCCTTATGAACCCGTTGAAGAGAATAATTTGCATTTGAGAATGTTGAGACTACTTAAAGCAAGAACACTGGTATTTTGCTTGCATTTTTTACATTGCCTCTTCACTAACTTTTTAGAAACTGTTCTTCAAATTATGAAAAAAGCCATGATCTGATACATATGCCAAATCTTCAGCAATACTTCAGAAGCCAAAAGCTTCAACGTTAAGGTGATAACTGACACTTCTGTGTCAATTATTCTTGTAATGGCACGTGGCACACGGTCCACTTGGAAGGTGCTTTTGAGCTAAGTGTGAGGTTAGCACACATTTTTTTTGGCAGAAAAGCAGAAACAACAGCGTGTCTTTGATGTACTGCAGAATGAATCTATAAATGTTTATATTCTCTGTTGTGGATGGAGATAACTTACTGATTCAAGATCACAGGAAGTGGGAACATGCGCAAGTCCCATAGCAGCTGTGCTGCTCTCTCAGAAAGTTACCATCGTTATTGGTATACGCTTCCTTTATAGCTTGCCAAAATATACTTATGAGTCCCAGTTATTCAAGTGAAATAATAGCAACAAAATAAAATTGTAAAATGGTATTCTAGTGGGAAAATAATGCTTACAACTTTAAGAATCTGAGTCCTCCTTAAGAACTCAGAGTTGTCCAGCACTGATACAGTTAATCACATATTTATTAAAAAAATATATTCTGCATTTGCACAGAGTTTAGAAAGCTTTTCCGTGTAGTTAAAACATTATATATATATATATATATATATGTTATATAAAATTATTAAACCCCGGTTGAAAAATCAGGTTTTATTGTCAAAATGTACAGACTTTCAGCTGTTTGCAATGAACAAATCAAACAAAAGCAATTGAAGTAGCTTAGCACAATGAATGCTTCAAGTGGTTTCCTCAAATTCAACTGAAAATGCAACTTATAATGACTTCTCCAGTCTCGAAATTACCCAACCCCCTGAACAGAATGCCTCACAGCAGCACAACTATGCAAAATATGTGTTGTCTCAAGCATACCAGATGCAACTAATCAAGGGCTTTTGTTGGTTGCATCAGGTGTACTTGAGCTGGAACTTGAAAGACCTGAACTGGCTAGGGGTTTGTTGAGTGTCACGTTTGAATACAAGTTAGAAACATGGCTAAGTAAAAATTATTATCCACTAAGTTAAGAGAAGAGATCATTGGTCTTTTACAAACAAGGAATAGGATACAAAAACATAGCAAAGGCACTGAATGTTCCTAGAAACAGTTTGCAAGTTCAAAGTTGAAGGAACAGTGGTTTCACAACCTGAATGGGGCTGAAAAGGAAATTGAGGTTTCAGTGAGCACAGAAAGACACGTACTAGATAGACTGGTAATGCACTGGAAACCTGCAGCATGTGGTAGGCAAGATTGATTCAAGGAGAAAATGTCATGCTGTCTGTAAGGAAACTAAAGCTTGTGTGTCATTGACCTTCCAACAAGACAATGATCCCAAGCATGCCTCAAATTCCACCTAATCTACGTTGCAGAAGAAGTCCTGGAAAATTCTACAGTGGCCATCACAGTCGCCTGACTTGAACCCCATAGAAAATCTCTGGTGGGATTTAAAGAAGGTGGTGGCAGCACGCAAACCAAATAATATGAACTGGAGGCCATTGCTCATGAGCAATGGGCAAAGATTCCTCAGGAATGCTGCCAGACACTGGTGTCTGGCCAAGAAAATTGCTTGGAATGAGCAATACCAATCCTGACACCTGAAGAACTAAGTATTGTACAGTGACAAAAATAAACCATCATTATAAAACTGGGCTAAAGGAATTTGTTCAATATTTGCAATTGTTAAAATTCTAACATTTTGGATAAATTTCTTTTTCATTGGTTATTAGAGATGTCGCGAACCGTCCGCGAACTTCTCGCGAACGGTTCGCCACGAGCTGTTCGTGGCGAACTCCGGTCAGCTGACACATCCCGGCCAATCTCCAGCAGACCCTCCCTCCCAGACCTTCCTACTTCCTGGACAGCATCCATGTTTCAACCAATAACCAATAGAGATGTCGCGAACCGTCCGCGAACTTCTCGCGAACGGTTCGCCACGAGCTGTTCGTGGCGAACTCTGGTCAGCTGACACATCCCAGACAATCTCCAGCAGACCCTCCCTCCCAGACCCTCCTACTTCCTGGACAGCATCCATGTTTCAACTAATAACAAATAGAGATGTCGCGAACCGTCCGCGAACTTCTTGCGAACGGTTCGCCACGGTTCGCCACGAGCTGTTCGTGGTGAACTCCGGTCAGCTGACACATCCCAGACAATCTCCAGCAGACCCTCCCTCCCAGACCCTCCTACTTCCTGGACAGCATCCATGTTTCAACATATTAGAACCCGGATGCTGTCCAGGAAGTAGGAGGGTCTGGGAGGGAGGGTCTGCTGGAGATTGACCGGGATGTGTCAGCTGACCGGAGTTCGCCGCAAACAGCTCGTGGCGAACCGTTCGCGAGAAGTTCGCGGACGGTTCGCGACATCTCTATTGGTTATTGGTCCCATTTTGTTATGAGAATCTTCTTTGTTATGAGAATCTGCAGATCCTCAAATATAGGTAAAAAAAAAAAATAGATTAGTCACTCACAACATATCAAACGTTTCTATGCAAACAGGTTCGCTTTTATTCCACGTAAAAATGTTCACCTTTTGCTTTCAAAGAAATTCCTGAAAAACGACATTAAACCCTGCAGTCGGCAATTTTTTTTTTTGCCATCTGAGTAATATAAATCGCAATAAATTTTAAATGGCTACTTTTTGGTCTTTTTATCATATAAAACAGTTCAGATGCAAGAAATCCCAAAGATATAGATTGAAAAGAAACACTCAACCCCTTAACGTAAAAACCTTATTATGAAAGTTAAAGAGGCGCTACGAACCCCGCACCCGAATTTTTTTTTTTTTTTCATAAAGATAAAACCTTTATGAAATACTCATATTGACTGTGCTGGAATTTCAGTCAAAAGGTATTCTAAGACAAAGTAGGAAAGCTGTATCAAGCCTTGTCTAGCACTCAGACATTACTAGTAATAGGCTCTGTCAATGGCGGGTCCCACGGTCTGTCCTCCAGGGACCTTAGTGTTGCACTCTCACACGTGTGCAAGAGTACAATGTGATGTGGCTCCCGGCAGCTGAATAGGACCAGCAGGGATATTATTGCAGAAGCCACAAGGGACAGATTCAGAGAGACCATCTGACTGGCATAGTGCCGCATATTGGCACACATGTGCACAGACTCCCAATGCATTCCTACGGGGAAAGCCCATCAATCTCAATAATCCCAGCCAAAGAGCTGGAGCTACTGCGAGAAGACCAGTGCAACGCTGGCCCGGTCACCTAAACCATAACTAGCACACTATTTGTATCCCTAATACTATAGTTTTCCTTTTAACCTATTAAGTCATCCACCTACTCTCTCAAAGACTTCCCGCCCTGCTTTACAGTTTAGTTTTTTTTAACATTGTATGACTAAGACATCTTTGTATTAAAGGATCACTTTAGTGTCAGGAAAACAAACTCATTTTCCTGACACTATATAACCCTTAGGTCACCCACACCCTCAGGGCCCCACTCCAGCTGGGCTAAAGGGGTTAAAACCCCTTCAGCTACTTATTTTAATCTAGCACCGGGCTCCCTCTATGCTGGTGACCTCTCCTCCCACTCCGTCAGCTCCCAAGTGGAGCAGAATGCCCATGCGTGGCAAGAGCCACGCGTTCATTAAAAACGCCTCAATGCTTTCCTATGGACATTCTGCACGCAGAATGCGATTTTCCCATTCAGCGTCGCTGAAGCGCCTCTAGCGGCTGTCAGGAAGACAGCCACTAGAGGCTGGATTAACCCTGCAATGTAAACTGCTATGTTTTTAGCTGCAGGGTTAAAACCTGAGCTGAAGTGGTCTGGGTGACTATAGTGGTCCTCTAATACTTAATTCTAAAGTTTTTGAAAGAAGTTTATTCTATATCAAAGCGTTCCAAGGACATGGCATAATTTAGAGCAACTTAGCAGAATTTTAATATTTTCCCAAGTTCTTTACAGCAAGGAACAAATGCACAACTAAACAAATAATAAAAAAACTAAAATAATTTAAAAAAAAACCTAAAGTTAATTGCTATTTTTATTGGTAGCATAGGACTGCAAGAAATTATTTATTGAATTATTCTGAATCTCAAAAATATAAACTGTTTACTATAAACAGTTTATGAGTTGGAGCTTTTCAGGGATGCATTAGTAAAGACATTGAGTTATGGTACTAACAGACTGTTCACAGTGAATCTGTTGGAGCCAGTGATTCAGATTCATTTTCCCCAGACGGTGTCAGGTTGTGTCCCAAAGCACAGTATTTTGACACACGGATGTAGCTGGCGGCTGTTAAGTACTTTGGAATTTCTGATATTCTCATTTTCTAAATTTTAAGAGACAGCTATTAAAGCTTCCAAATCCTAGTTCTAGAATTAGTCGCAAAGATTTGAAAAAAAAGTGCCTGTGTCACAATAAATTAGAGTTTCTTCCATTACATATCCACATCAAAGGACGGAACATGTAATTACACCTTGCATAGCCTTCAAAGAGTCGCTACCATTAAAGCAGTTATAATCCAATGTCACTATTCATTTGAGAATTAACAAGATGTCTATAAGTTGAATTAAGATATTCAAATATGCTACATTTTGCTTAAAGGAATGCTGTGGCTATCCTTTCTTGAAACGTGCATTTCTTATAAAGGGAGCATATATCTAAATTACAAATATTATTGCAAATGAAACAAAAATAAATGGGACAGAGCAGGAAACATTAAAAATGTTGGATTAAAAATAAATAAATAAATGGGCAGTACCCTACGCATTTCACTGAGCAAAACGGTTACTGGATTGATAGGATTCCCATTGCAGATTTCATTAGCAAGCACTCTGTTTATCTTTATATTTGTTTTTTTTTAAAACTACAAATCTTTAAAATGTATTTACTGAAGCTAAAATGGTGGTAAATAGGAGGTCATTTTAGCATTTTCCATTGGAAAAAATACTGCATTATCTAACCCTAACAAAAGGTATTCAAGGATGAAAATGTTTTGTAGTGCAAAACAAAATGTTACAATAAATTCCATATTCCTTTATTTTTACTCAGGATAAAAATAATTCAAGGTGAAAAGTAGGTGGAGTTTAAAAATTGTGTATATTAAACTATGTATAATTATATTGCAGCAATACGATTTGAATATAATATTAATAATATTGTTTTTTTAATATTTTTGACAGAGTACTTACATACTTACTAATATAAAGTAATTTGTTGTATTCTATATTTCAGCAGCATATTAAATATACTTGAAAATTAATTTATACACAAATGTGCTCTTTTGACCTATCTTAATTCCACTTGAAAGTTCACATTTTATATTTTATTTTATGTTTTTACCAAAAATGTATTGTAGTGAAAGGGTTGAGAAAGCTGGGTTTGAAACTTGCTGACTCCAAAAGTAATGTGAAATATCACATTATTTCTTAATGATCCTAATATCTAAATGTTCTTTCTCTTCGAGCAGTATGAAATATATATATCTCATTTATAATTTTCCTCTAAATCCTATTAGAAAAAGCCTGAACACAGATATTAGAGAAGGGTACGCATCCTTTGTCAAGCATTAGAATCTTCTGTTTTTTGTCTCTTACAATAGTTATAGTGTAACTGCTATAATAGAACCTCAATAAACCATGTTATCAAAGATTTTCACTAAGTCATAATTGTAGGCAGCAAAATGCTTATTGCGATGTACTGATGCAGCAAATGTCCAAAATTTACCGTATTCCAAGTATATAAATTAAAAGAAACATGTTTACTTTAAACCCAACGCAATTCATCCTCTCTTTTGAATTTACATATTTTAAATCTGCCACATTTTTATACCTTCAAAAATTAGCAGCTTTTTTATCACACGCGTGGTGACCTAAAATAATTTATTAACCCGAAGTGAAGAAGCAACCCTAATCTTAATTAAATCTTGCAAGAATGAAAAAAAAAGATAAAAAAATATAGTGTGCAAAAACATAAAACCCAAATAAATAAGGCTTCATTGATTTGCTTATATTTTCAAGATAGAGAGCATAAATAAAACAAAGGGCTGTTAACCCTGTGAGTTAATGTGTTGCTGAAGATATAACAAGCCATGTGGCAAGGTTCCCCAATACACATAGGGTTCATATATCTGGTGGGATCAGCACTTTAATGAACTCAGTTTGAAGATGTCAGCAGAGCAGGTATCATACATGGTGCCTTCATTTAGCATTGTGTGTTGTAAAAGGGCAACACAGGGGGAGAAGCTCCGAGATTAGGCAGTAAGGAGAGAAACAAAGTTTAAGAGAGTGATCAGTGGGGTGATGATAACTTCGTTTTGCAAAGGCCAACGAGGCAAGAGAGCTCAGGAGGTGGGTTGGTAAAGACAAATAGTGGGCAGAGCGGAGGGAAGAGTCAAATAAGAAATGCTTGAGCCAAAGGAAGCAGAGAAAGAGGATTTTCTTGGCATCATGGAGGGGTGGAGACTATTGAGCCACTTCAGGTTTTTAAATTTTTTAAAGAAAATCTGTATACACCTTAGAACTAGAGGGGAATTATATGTAGTCTGCACCTCATTTTTAAATGAGTATTTTTTAAATAGAGTTTAACCCCTTAAGGACACATGACATGTGTGACATGTCATGATTCCCTTTTATTCCAGAAGTTTGGTCCTTAAGGGGTTAAATAGTTTTTTTTTTTTTCCTTTTAGAATGTGCTGGTCATACTTATGACTTATCATACTTGGGGTTACAGTTCACAACAAGCAGTGGCTGGCTGAGACAGACAGGCTTTGCAGTTAAGAGCAGCCATAGTGCCAGAAGCAGTTTATTTCTGTTTCACAGAACAATGGCACATTGATTAAAACAAGATAAATATGCTTTAAAAGACCGTCATGATTTATTAAATGACATTGGCCTAAACAAATCTAATTTGAAATCTGTAGCAAATCCTGTGTAAACTAAGTGTTCATTAAATGGGAGATCTTGCCGTTCATTACATATCACATGCTTTGTATGTTATTTAATCTTTTTGAAATAATAATTTCATCATCTGCCTTCCTGCCTGCTAATGATTCTGGTTATTATTAAAACTAAAATAATTGCTTTAGCTGCCTGCTCTGTTCTCATACCCAGAATGTCTAGCTAGTATACAGTTTCAGTGCATGGAGATGAACGAAAAAATATTCTTCTTTTTTTAGAAGTCACATCTATTATTTATGTTCAACCAGTCAGCCAGATCACCATCCTGTCCATCCATCCATCTGTCCATCCATCCGTCCACCCACCCACCCATCAGTCCATCCATCCGTCCATCCATCCATCCATCCATTCACCCTTCCATCTGTCCACACATCTATCACTGT